AAGACGGTAGGCGATTTGAAGGTATGGTATGAGGAGGGAGAGATTCTGCACGGTGGATTTCCTGGGCAGAAGTGTCGAACAAAGGCAGATCGGTGGGGGATTGTGATTCGCGACCTTCCACCGACGATATGGGGAAATCAGGGCCTCTATCGGTTTCTATGCCAGGTACGATCTGCGAAGAAAGCTTTCTTTTCTTTGTGGAAGACGTCGTGAAAGCGAGCAGCCTTTGCCGCTCTAAATTCGTAGATGGTAGAAGAATCCAATGTATTGTTCGTCAGCATCGAAGGTTCCGTAATGCGACTGTATGATTCCGAAAAAGTGCAGGTGGGTGGGTAGGTGGGTTGTTAATTTTTTTTTTTTAGGTGAATTTGGAAAAAGGAATGACTGTGACTGAGATCATTTGTGAATTCGTATCGTTGTGAGATATTTTTTCAAAGAAGGAAAAGACTTGATATTCTGATCTTTGTGGAAAATGCAATGAAACGCACAATTTTGAATCCTTTTTTTTGGGGGGTTTGTTTCTTCTTGTTGTTGATGGGAGGGGGAGGGTTTTTTCCCATCCAATGTTGAAGGTCGAAGTAATAAATATAAAGGGTAGGTTGGTAGGTAGGTACGTACGTACGTACTAGGTAGGTTAGGTAGTGGTAGGTGTGGTGGTATTGGTGGTATTGGTGGTAATGGTGTTGGTGGTGGGAGGTCCTTGCCGCATCCATGGACTGACTGCCCAGGTGTGGTGGTGGTCTTTGGTTAAGTTTAGCGGGAAGAGGAAGTGGCCGGGTAGGTAGCCTGAAGATTTTAGGTACTTTTACTATAGTAGGTAGGTATTCCAAGTTTATTAGTACACATAATACAGTCTATACTATATAGCAAATAAATCAATAATTACAGAGTCAATTCATCTAATCCAATCCAATTCAATCCAATTCAATTCAAACCTCCTCCAAATGAATCAAATAAATCAAATACATCAAATAAATCAAATAAATCAAATAAATCAATAAAAACAATCCATATTCCCTCTATTTCCCAAACCCCTCAATAAAACACTCTCTCTATATTATATAACATTTACCTATCTATCGATATAAACACACTCACTCGAGGGCCTTAATAATAATAAATTTATTAGATTCACTACCTACTCATCTAATACCTACCTACCTATCCTACATTCTTCACTCCCACCACTTCACAACCTACCCACCTACCTAACAATCTTCCTTCTTCTAGCTCTTCTCCCCGCATTGAGGACATCCATCCATAGGGAGTTACCGTACTTGAGATTTCGCTAATACACAAATACATCCATACACTCGATATCCCATCCCATATCCCATCCCATATCCCATATTCATATTCCGCTCTCACATACCACCAGTACCTACATACCTAGTTACTAATAATTACTATCATGCAACATTATACACATTACTATCAACACTTACCTAATCTCATCACAAATCCACTGAGTAGAGTACTAGGTACTTCTTAAAACCGCTCCGGTTTCTTTCTCTCCATTGGGATTGTGGAAATCATCCCAGCCAACTCAAGGTTACCAGATTGACTGTCTCTGCATCGTCGCTGCTTATATCAATTCCTAACATTCATTTATTTATTTACCATTTCAGAGCACACAAAAAGTATATAGGTATATATATATATAATCCCAGTTTGATTACTATTCATCGTCTCGATGCAATTTTCTAATTTGGTTCTCTGTATACCATTCATTGCCAATCAACACCAATCAATCAATGCCAACAGCCAATAGCCGACAGCAAATTACAGAACTCCAAATATAACTCCCCTAATACCCCAACCCCAAACTACCACTTTCAATACCCATCCTCTCTTGAAATATCTATCCTACATCGATTCCGAAAATAAAACAACGTCCTAGACAAGCACCTCATCTGCATCAGTCTGAGACCCAGTTTCTGCATACTCAATCATCTCCACATCCGACTTATGTGTGGCTTTCTTCCCACCTGCCATTTCGATATCCTTCAACTTAATTCCAGCCTTCTCCATCTTCTGCATGTTCTTCTCCATTCCATCAAAGACTTCATCTTTAAGAGCCTCGACCTCTTTCTTAACCATCTCGGTCTGCTCCTTGATGGCTTCAACTTCTTTCACCACCTTTTCAGAATCCCCTTCTTCCCCATCCTCATCCTCCTCACCACCATCGCCTTCTTCAGCCTCCTTTTCTTTCTTCAACTTCTCAATTTCCTTTTCCAACTTTGCTTTCTCCTTCTCTCTCTTCTCTCTTTCCTCACTCTCCTTCAACTTCGCTCTCTCTTTCTCTTCCTCTCTCTCCTTAACCCATTGTTCCGCTCCCTCAACAGCATCTTCCGCATTTCTCTTATGCTTCAACAAGTAACCTTGAATTTCCGCTGGACTGAACTTTGCTTCAGGAACCTTCTCACTAAAGAGCTTGGCTAATCTTGCTATTCTCTCTTCATCCTCGATCCTTCTTTGCTCCTCTTCCGCCGCAATGATTCGATCTAATTCTGCCTGTATCCTCCTTTCTTTCGAAGGACTTCTAGGCTTCTTCTTGTGCATACCCCGCTTGTTGACTGGCGCAACACTACCCGGACTTCTCCCTCTAGAAGATCCTGATTTGACACTTCCACCGTCAGAAGATCCGCTTTCAGCGCTCTTGAGCTCAGGATAGTCTCCTTCGAGAGTTGCGTAGATACTTTTAAAGATTTTTTCCATGTTTTCCTTAGTAGCCAAATCAAAGTGAACTGTCATGTCAACTCGGCCAGGCCTGATAAGTGCCTCGTCTAACTTTTCAATGTGATTTGTTGTCATGATTAGAATTCTTCCTTCTTGCGATGCAACTCCATCAATCACATTGAGCAATGCACTCAAAGAGATCTTACCCGGTTGATCCTTCCCGCCACTTTTCTTTGTCATGGCCTCCATAGCTTTAGTTGCTTTAGTCAATGGAGATTTAGGACCAGCCTCTTCATCAAATTCAAAACTCTCCTCGTCTTCGACATCGTCACGGGTGTGGGTAAGACCAGCTGTATCGATATCTTCAAGAAGTACAACACACTGCTTGGGAAGCTCAGCGAAGAGTGTACTGAGGGTTTCTTCGTTCATCGAACCGGAATTCAAAGAAACAATATAAATCTTAAGCTTGAAGTATCCAGCAATTGCGAAGCTAAGAGAACTCTTTCCTGTGCCAGGTGGCCCATGGAGTAAATACCCACGACGATATGGAATGCCACGATTAGAATACCATCGCTTCGTGTATGGATGCAGGTAATCTTTCATGTCGGCAATGATATTCTGCTTTACCACTTCATCGAGGACAACCGTAGAAAAGGGGCGAGAGGTGCGGGAAAGAAGACGAGTCCAGCCTGGCTCACCGAAGGAACCGCCCTTGGCACCGCCTCTGTAGATGATGGTTTTATTTTCATCATTTTTGATAAAGGCTTGGCGACACTCATCAAGTAACTCCTTGAGGATGCGAGGGTTTCTTCCAAAGGAAGAAATTGAGATTTCCTCCCTTTCACTCACAGCCGAATTGTTTAATGATGCAGTCTGCGAACGTCTGAATTGCAACAGTCTCCTCTTGTACCAAAAGTAATGAGTTCCGAAGCTTGGTGTGAATCGGACTTTCTTCTCCTTTTCGGAGGCTTTCTTGGGAACGGGATTTCCATCCTCGTCGATCTCAAAGTCATCATCATCCTCCTCTTTTTCTTCATCATCCTCATTAAAGTTCCACATGAACCACATACGACTGTTCAGATTGGTATTGGCGACAAAATGACGAGATCGTTGCGCAAAAGGTTGTTCAGATATCCAGGCCATTACCATGTTATACATTTCATCGTCGATGCGAACATCAGCAGTTGACATGAAATGAGCGTCAAGCTCAACCCAAAACCATGCTTCGAGATATTGCCAACAGAATACTAGCATACCCAGGATCATGAGCATGGGGATGTAGATGTTGAGGTCGATGGCAGTGTAGTTCTTTAGAGCAGTTGAGAAGAGTGAAAATCCCGGAAAAAACATGTCGATTATATGGGGTTGTGAGTAGCCATAAGTTGTCTGCCCGGTGGTATCCCCAGCTGGATGATGTCCAGGGTTCCCCATCGTGTCGTGAGGAACGGAGCCGTTCATGTTGGCGATGAACTCTGATGAGTACTCGCAGTCTGGTATAGTTGCAAGACTCTAAATATATAGATATTGTAAAGAAAGAGGAAATCCGAACTAGTTTGTATGACCGTAGAGTCACAAGTAGTTTACGTAAAGGAGGGCCTCACCTCGCTGACTAGGTAGCAACACTTGTTTATTTTTTCAGGTGAGAATGTAATGAGAAAGCATATAGTGTGATATTACCGATAGAGTCATGAAATTATGAACTTTATATTCAAAAACATGTTGGCAGTTGGATATCTCGTCGCTCTGTTTTCCCAACAGGCATGAAGTCAAACGGTCTTAACCGATTAGACCCTGTTGTTTGCTGTGGCTGTTGAAAAGACCTAGTGAGGCTTAGCATCTGACTTCAGTGCGCTTACGGCCACATCATTGGCCACGACCCTGCTGATTAAAATCAATCTTGGATGTTTGTGAAAAAGGCTTGACTTTTGTAAGAACCTCACTGCATATTGCCATTGCGTATGTGGTGGCACACCATATTGCGTGGAGGCTCAAGTCGTTGAACGGTGACTACTCGTACAACAGCTCCAGCCTGCTATGAGATTTAATAATTGACACATTGAGGAATGCCCATCTGATTCAACCAACTAGGTAATCTTCTCGTGGATATCCTCTCTACTTCCATATTCGCACTCGGTGAAGAATTGTTCAGCCCCACAATTCGGCCAAGGAGTCAGTCGTTCAAAGGCATAGAAAACAAAAGTCTCAACTAATGTCTTTCGCCATCCAATGACTCCATATAGCTAGGTATATTAGACACTAATGGAGTAAAGGTTTGGGCGGGGATGCGTCACTCGAAAATGTATGTCTTGATTCTTTTTGGCTCAATCCAAAGAAGTTGCGAGCGACTTGGTCGACAACTGGACAATTTTGATCCAGCTTATGTAAGCGCGCTTCTCCAGAGAGCTGCCCCTCGACCCCACAATAGGTAAACGCTGGCCGCCCACCTGCTGTTCTGCAATCATAAGGATCATTCCACCCTCCAACAATTGTAAGATTCCGGACAAAAAGGCCATTTCAACCGCAAAACTGGAATGCTGCGCAGACCCGCGCGGATACGTTTGACTTTCTTTGAAAACACACAGTGTTGTTGAGTTGCCTTGTGTTTCCCATTGATTCCCCAAAGAGACTTCGGCTTTAATACCCACCAACCCACCTGGCGTTTTGTAATCATTGCAAAAATCACCTCGTCATTATTCATGAGCACCATACCAATGTCCAGTTCAGCATATCCGTCCGAATCCCACTCGACGTTCTGTATGCTAACTCCTTTTTCGCCATTTTCTCTCATTGCTGCGACGTTCATGTTCATTTGCTGCGATGTCTCATCGAACAATACAAATTCTCGATCTGCATTGAAAGGTCACAGGATGAATAGACGTGAAGGGATGAAAATGGTGTATGGCCTTCAAACTATTCCCGAGGAATGACAGTTTGCAGTACATTTGTCAAAGTCTCATATATTGTTTAGACTAGCCTCTCAACACACCAATATCTCCTCCATAAAGAAGCTCCCAGTCTCCCAGGGAACGATCAGAAGCTCTACCTTAATTACGCTCAAAACATTGAATCGACTTGCCAGGGTCTTTCTCGATGTCACGGCTCTAAGTTTTGAAGCATAACTTGACTGCCCTGCTTCGAGGCGAGGGTTCTAGTTGGAGTCCATTCCAGATACAACCCTCTTCGTTGCAAGTTCACTTCTATCATTGATGTCAAACTTAAACTGTGATGCAGTTAATAAGCGATCACATCTGACCCTAGTTCTACGATTGGCATCTGGTCTCCCGATGCGGTAAAATCTATGGTCCTGGGTGCAACTTGTGAGAGGAAGAGCCAGTGTCACAGAATCAAGGGGACCTACGAGCAGGAACGAACGGGAATGGTCAGATCACAAATAAAAGTCAATGGCAAAGACCAAAAAGAAAGCGTACCATACTATAAGAGGTACCCTGGATAATTTGAAAATTCGTACTAATAGTTCAAGATCTGTTTTCATCCTCTGTCTTCTATGCATACAGTGAAAGTCTTGTATCTACATCTGTCTTGTTTTATCTTCCACGTCATGATCATATATTTTACAGGTGGAGATTTCGAATATCCATGCACCCAATTCCCAAAACCCTTCGTATGCTGTACGCATCATGCATCTATTCATATCTATACAATTACATCCTTTTAAATCAATGCCTTGCCCTCAAACATGCCGTCTCTGACTTCCTTAACCACATCCCTTCTATCTCCCTTTCCGACCAAAACTATACCTCTTCCTCTCTTCCCCATACGTCCAGTTCTGCCCAGTCTATGGATAAAATCAATTGTAGAGTGTGGTACATCATATAGAATGACATGTCTTACAGCTACAGTATCGATACCTCTCGAGCCCAAATCTGTAGTAACCAAGACTTTGGTATTAGGTAATTGTCTCTTGACTGGAGGGGCGACCTTTCCGAATGGCACGTAATTCGGTTGATTGTCTGATAAAGATCCAGGGTGAGAATCTGGTTTCGGCATGCTGAGTCTGGCGGGCGAGGTGAAAGATGCAAACATCTCACTCTGGCGTTCCTCAGGAGTATCACGAGAAATGGCGATGGCATCTATACCCTTCGATTTGAGATAATCCGCCACCTCTTGGGTTTTCTCCCGCTCATTAACGAACACCAAGATGCGCTTGACATCCATTACTCCTTTGACGGGCCCATCGTGTTCAGCAGCCGCTTTACCAATAGTCCAGATAGTGTCTGCGCAAGCGAGATTCTTATTGTTACGATATGGGTCACGTTCAACATCGACCACGCCTAGTTGGACACGTCGAGGGATAGCGTGAAGGTTTGGTGTGACCAGACGATTAATGGAGGGGAATCGTTTGCGAAGGAATGAGTCGAGAGAGCGAGGAATAGTGGCAGAGCATAGAACGAGTTGTTCGAGCGATGGAGTGGCGCGATCGATGATTGCTGATGTTAAGGGGGAGAAGCCTCGGTCCAAGAGAGAGTCGGCTTCGTCAATTACAAGATGAGTGACGCGAGATAAAATGTTTGGGTCGGAGTCGGCAATAGAGGAGAGAAGATGGGGGGTAGATACAAGTACATCAATTCCAGATGGAGAGAAAAGACGGTTACGAATGACCTTCCCAGAAAAATTAGAGGAAATCATGGCCGATTTGAATTTAACAGTATGTCCAAACGCCTTTACAAGTGTCCCCACCTGGGTTACCAATTCAGATGTAGGCACAAGTATGATTGCTCTCGGTCTGCCTGTCGTAGGATGTGGCATATTTGATAGAGGAGGTGAGACCAGTGTTAAGTTATTTTGTCGTAATTTCTCTTCTTGTAACTCTTTCTCATAGGCCTCGGTCTCCGCATCCTTAGCCTCTGCGATTTTGATTGCATTTATCGTTGGTATTAAATATGACAATGTTTTCCCTGACCCGGTCTCAGCAGCAATCAAAAACTGCTCACTCTCACTTTGCTTTCCCTTCTTCTGTTGATTCCCAAGCAAGGCCGGTACGGCAATCCTCTGCACCGGTGTCGGAACATGGCTTTCAATTCCTGGAAGAGCCTGTTTGTAGATTGCTTCCTTCACACTGTCTAACAGGGCAAATCGCTCGAAGCTATCTAGTTCCTTTATCCTATCCTTTATATCCGACCTCCTTGTGTATGAAACAGGCGAAAGAGCCCTTTGCATCTTCAATGCGTGAAATCCTCTGCTCTTCTTATCATCTTTATCCCCGCGATCGAGCCTCGATGAACGACGTTCTTGTGCTGCTGATGGTCGTTCTGGAACTCCACGAATTTTCGCCTCTCGTAGATTCATTCCCCCAAACGGTCCATCTTGCTTTCTCCTTGCAGGTCCCTCTTTTGTTGGCGACGAGCTAACTTTTCCTGCGCCCGCCAGACTCATGCGATTTGGTCGACTGGGTAGTCTAGATCTCATGGACATAGATCTGCTAGGCCATTTTTGAATCGGCGGTGTTTGAGCTGCTCTGAATGAACAGAGCAGACATGTTGTAGGTTTCTGCCGGAGCATAGTAAATACAAATTACTTTGAATGTATCAATAAATTTTTTCCCGCTGCAGGTGTTGATTAATTATCCACGAGAAATTATTCTGTGCTGGCAGAATTAATTGGTTGACGGCAAAAGTAAAGGCGGTGAAATGAGAAAGATTACTGGGATCACGAGCTCGTCCTCATCTACCGGTGACTTCTTTATAATCTGTACTTCATAAAGTACTCGTCAATATACGATAGTTACAAGCAGTCCGGAATGTTTTTGTTTTTTCTGTTTTTAAATCAGATTTACCCTGAGATTCGACTTTGGCAAGATATATCGACGAGTTTGTATTACTTTCCGATCATGAAGAACTCTGTTTGCATGCGCAGTTTCTTGAATATAAAATATAAATGCTCTCAAAACCCTCAAAAAGTTATATCTTTATGGAGTTACTTCTGTTGATACTAAGAGTCCCTATTAGACCGAACTCAAGTAATACTTCGCACCAATCGATGTTACATCTCACCAATTTCAATCATGGTTGAGAGAGTGCAATTTTGAGCATGTCGCTATCATGGATCCATCAGTAAATAGGTATTGATACACTTGATCCTAACCACTTTCAAGTTATTTCTTTCGGCCTCCTTTGATTTATATAGGCAATCTGTACACTTTATCAGAGACGCGCTCACTGTCAATCTCTAAGTTATCACCCGAGAAGTTCGGGATCATTCTTACTAGGTCATATAAGAAAAATCCCATCAAGTTGGAAACAATGATGTATCGCCAGCATCCACAATCCGAGGACAGATGAGTTGTTCCGATTCTGAAAGCTTCGGTTCCCCTATTCCTTTTCTTTTATCCACGATTGATTATCTATTTTTCCAGATCCATTCATCCTTTATCTGTCCCATGGTATTTTATCGTTAAGAAAAGTGTTTTTACGTCATAAGCCATGAGAAGTCTTCTCAGTCCAGGCCCATCAACAAGGGAGTGGGTGTATTGGAGAAAGAGCGCACGATAAAATACATACACTTTCCTCTCGTGTTGAAACCGGAGAGATCCTGTCCAAGACCTCCAATAGCCCGGGCTGTAGTGTGATAGTAACAATCTTGATCCCACTTCGAATGTTGATTCGTTTTCTGGCATTGAATACTCACATCTATATCCATTCGTCAAGATTGTTGGACACTGGCTATCTGCCCTCCAAACTTAGAAGATTCAATTTTCAATTCAAATTCAGTCATCATGTAGTTCTTGCCTAGCAAATTAGACTACTTTGGGACTTGCCTTCGCGATGATTTGCACCTATTGCAGCCGTAATTTCCTGTTGAACTTTAGGAAGTTGAATTACACTCGCGGTTTTGAAATGGGGTTTTGCTTTTCGATTCTTTTCGTCTCAAAAATCCCGACCAAGGATTCCAAAGCTCGAACTCATCCAGTCTCTTACATTGTCATTTTGATCATCAACAAGTCCTCGATATGATGACCACTGACGCGACGCTTAGCAGGGTTTATGTCCTAGGCTGCAGACAGTTCGCTTTATTTTAGACCTATTTTTTTTTAACTTGATTGCTGACAATCCCTAGTGATCTTACTCTACAGACTTCCTTCTCTTGGTCCATCAGATTTTATTCAGCACAGATTTATGCACCCAATCGTGAAATTAAATGCGAATGTGGTACATCAATCTATTTTTGCCGCAAGCCGATTGATATCAACGAAAGACCACTGTCACCACCCGTGAGGGAAGTTGTGTACGATCTTGACAAAGATGGAGCGAGTGATTGTTGGCACCATTTTGTAACTCTCTTTTCAAGTTTCAAATTCAAGCATGCTTCAGAGTTTGTAACCACTTTCCACATTCACATTGCTTCGCAGGAGTCTCCAGCAGCCCAGAGTAGTAGTGGAATATATTCTAAGCTTCTAACTTTCAGTGTCATGAAATGGTTCAGCATCGACATGATCAAGGATTCCAAGTGGATTCAGGATTGAAAGGGAGTCATTCTCAGACTGCAGCCCGAACTACTCAAGATCCTGTTTCTCAATTGGCAATTTCTGACTCTCTCTATAACAGTTATTTACTTGCAGCATCTGGCATAGTCCACTGTTTCTCATGGTACTTTTTATACTCCAATGCACAACTCGGACAGTTATATCTCGCTGGGCTGTGGACGTGTAACCTTCCGAGTGACCTCTGCTGGTGGGTTAAGGTGATTGAAGACCATTGTGTTCCTTCAAGGGCGAAACCGTACAGGGCTCCTACTTGGTCGTGGGCTTCTGTCGATTTTGAAGGAAAATCACCTTGTAGCCCGGTTGTTTATCATTCAAATTTTGGTGAGAAGTTTGAACAATCTGCAAAATTCTGTATTCATCATGCTGCGACTCAGATGGCACCATCAGCCGTGGGAAAATACGTGTATGGACCAGTTTGTGATGGATTAATACGAATTAGATGCATCCTCATTGCAGCCCAGATCTTTACGCACCCATACTTGGAATTTGACGCAAGACATACGACTCAGTTCTTAGAAGCAGATGCATTAGACGAAGACTACGATCCTTATTTCTGGCCAAATGTCTATCTCGACGTTCAGGGTTCCTTTGAACCGGCAATGAGTAAGCCCTTCCCGGCCGCTAATCTTCTTGACCTGCCCATCGCCGGAGATCTTGAGGACAAGGGGTTTCTTCTGAGCGTAGACGTGGTTGAGACAAGACCCAAGAAGATTATTTGTGCTCAGATACAAAAGTATGGATTTGTATGGTGGGAAATATTGTTGACGGCGGAATATGCGCACTTGTATTGAAAGAGCGTGAAAAGGCAATTTTTCGACGCTTTGAAAGAGTAGGATATTTGCACAACAGGGTTGGAGTCGTTGGCTCTGAGAACTACGGCTGGCATAACAATTTTATGCGAAGGGCTGAGAGGACGGGGGGGGATAGTCATTGAGATAGTCTAAGATGGCAAGCAACATCATGCTTGAGCTGTCAAACTAGGATATGAGCAGACGCAAAGACTATCACGACGACGATGCATTGTTTCTACCAGCCCCAATATTCGTTGTGGCCTTTCCAGCACCTACCAACCCCATGGAATACAATAGCTTCATCCCACATGACTATCTGTCATTACAGACCTTAGCTTTAGTTTCAATAAGCATACACTCATTAGACATTCTACATCATTCTTCATGGTCTAGTCTAGACCGAGACTCAACAAATCAAAACAGCCCTCCCTTGCTTACGTACATGTAACTCAATTCGTCATCCCAAGAAATTAAAGACTGAGCATACCAATGATCTCCTAGTTTTGAAGACGTTTTAACTTGATATAAGATTTCAGAGAACTTGAGAAGGAATACTTTGGCATGCAGTGTTTCGAACATTGTGTGGGGGCAACAGTTTCTTGCAAGTTGCATCCACTACCCCAAATCGTGAAACTTTTCGATACCCGGAGCGACAGACATAAAGTACAATATCAATCTCTACCGAGTGTCATAGATAGAAAGTGGAAACGCCCCGCAAGGTAATATATCAGGATGAATGAAAAGGTTCCGTGGAGACGGAGTGTACATGTAACTGTTACGAACTTGCGCAACGCAACTTATTTGTTTGTACTGTGGCAATACGAGGTGAAAAATCTACATGTTACAGATTAGTTACATTCTTTGATACTGAGTTTTTTCTACCTTGGTTTTGATCTTAACCTTATAGATGATATCACTACCAGGAAATGTACAGCCATGGAAAGTTATCGAAGGTCGAGCGAAACTCTAACAATCCTGATCTAGATATCGCAAAACTACCTTGGTAGACGGGCAAACATATCAATGATGCTCTCGGTGTGTGCAGTACGGCACAAAATGCTTCGGGAGGAATGCGGATACGAGATATGTGAGATAAGAATTCTTTTTTATGAAGTATCTTTTGTATCTTTTCCCTTTCCAGCCCGATCGGTCTGTGCAAGTTCTACATTTTATGATGTTTTACCTGGGACCTCAAAGTTACCCGTATTTATTATCATTTCTGACTAGACTAAAGCTAAACTAAGCTAGTTTGTTTGTTGGGCTCAGATCCATTCTCGCTTCCGCAGATCATCAATCTTCTCCATGTGCGAACAACTGAACAATTGAACAACCAACAACCAAACACCCAAACAACCAAGATCTTACATGAGAATCTGATCAACATCACCACAGAACAAATTGAACCTTGGAAGCTACTCAGATTGAGACTTGTTTGTACAGGATCGATGTGTCAACATCTACTCTGTACACGTCTTGCATTGATCTTATCATCCGTTCTGTCCTGCCATGCGTTCAACTGATAAACAAGAAGATACGCAGGGAAGAGCCTCAGCTCTTTTTCAAACAAACAAACTCTTTGATTCATCAATCCTGAAACATATCTGTGGATCACATCAAGATATGCCCAGAGCCATACCAGATCTTTATTTATAGCTTCGTTAGTGCCAGTGTATTCGAGTAAGAGCTGAAACTAATAGAGTTCGGTGCTCGGTCGTTTTTGGTTTCCGATTCTCTGCTCTCTTCAAATCTTTCATTCCTTTTTCTCCCTCACAGCTTCAGAATCTAATGAAGAGCTTCATGGATCAACCAATGAGATTGAAAGCTCACCATTCGGTGTCTATTTTATCCGCGATTTCAAATGACCAATTTATGAAGTAGTTGAAATCTAAGGCCCCTTCTGCACGGTCAGCAACCTACGCACACCCAGCCTGCTGTTATTTGAAGCCAAAGTCCATATCTAGTAAAGGTACAATCCAATAGTTCAATCTGCACAGGACGAAAATCATTTACTACCTGCTCGATCCCACGTTCTTTTCCTGATTCTGTATACCGCAAATTTGCGTCCCCACTAATTGCACACTAAATTTCGTATGCTGATCGAAGACATGGCTTCACCCGAGAAGAAGGAAACCGTTATACGAGTTCCCTTATAATCCAGAAGATTACGATTACCATTATTATCTAGACATTCCCTATGGATACGACGTGGAAACTTCGACTTACAATTCAGCATTAGAAACGGCGTACGATTTCACATCGTCAATATACGAAGATTCCTACGAAGGAAAGATGGAGAGAAGAGATAGCTTGGAGCTGGAAGCTCTGCATTCACCACGTTCTTTATACACTACTCCAGAATCATCCCCCATAGGACCGTCACAGATGGAAAGGCAACTGAGTACGAAAAGCACAAAGAGTTTTAAAAGCACGCCAGGGTTATTCAAAATGATGTCAATCAGGAATTTAAAACGGTCCCCTCCTCCAGAACCGCCTTCAAAAAGTATCCGTGATACATACCCGGAAATTTTCGCAATGACTTCAGAGGAATCGCTTGCCGCGTCTTCGAAGCCTTCAAGGCCATTTTCAGAAGAAACGCTTGCTTCTTCTCTGAAGCTCTCAAGGCCAGTGTCAGAAGAAATCAAGGTACCAGTGGAAAAGAAGGAGCTTGCAGGTCCACCGGGACCTCCAGGTCCTGGAGGACCAGGTGGACCTGGGGGACCACCAAAGGAGATCTTCCCAGAGATGGATATGGAAAATAATCTAGTAGGATGGACAGGACAAGATGATCCAGCTCATCCAAGGTATGTTTGATTCGACAGTGCATGGTGATCACACTTATACTGACCCGAAAAAGGAATCTTCCGGATAAAAAGAAATGGTTGATGCTGGCGTCTGTCAGTCTGATTACATTCTTGAGGTACGTTTACCTAATAATGATTTTATGTCGCATCTTAATTGACCAATTATAGTCCTCTATCTTCATCGATTGTAGCACCTGGAATTACACTCATGAATCGAGAGTTTGGTACCACTTCCGATATACTAGATACCTTGTTGTCAGTATGTCATTTTGGATTTGCGGCCGGGCCGCTTGTTCTGTCGCCACTGAGTGAAATTTATGGACGTCAACCAATTCTCATGTATTGCAATTTCTTACTAACGATATGGTAAGTCTAACACTTGTCATGTGCTTGTCATTCAATTGAAACATTGCTCATACAACCCCACTACAGGCAACTCGGATGCGCACTTGCTCCAAACATCCACCTCCTCATCCTCTTCCGCTTCTTTGCAGGCTTAGGAGGATCTGCCTGTCTCGCTATCGGTGGCGGTGTCGTTGCAGATTTATTCCCAATCCAGCAACGTGGTAAAGCACAAGCTATGTTCGTCATGGGACCACTCTTCGGCCCTGTCCTCGGTCCCGTGATCGGAGGATTCATCGCCCAACGTGCGGGATGGCGCTGGGTGTATTGGGTCCTCTTGATTGCTTGTGCCTGTCTTTCCATCTTCTACGTGATCGTCGGAAAAGAAACATCCGCCCCCGTCCTCATCCGTCGCAAAACCGCCGCTCTCCGCAAGGAAACTGGAAATGAAGCTCTCATATCTGCATACGATGCCAAGAAACCACCTGCTGCATTGAAAATCAAAGCAGTCCTTCTCACGGGTATCGCAAGACCCTTCCGCATGATGTTTTCCTCTCCCATCCTGCCCATGCTTGCTTTGTGGATGTCTTTCATCTTTGGACTCATCTATCTCCTCCTCACATCCATCGCGCAAGTCTTTGAACAGAACTACGGATTCTCCATCGAAATCGCCTCGCTAGCATATCTAGGTCTCGGTCTCGGTTTCTTCCTTGGCATGTTCACAGTTGCCAAAACATCAGATCCTACCATCATTTCCTTAACCAAGAAAAATAACGGTGTATATCAACCTGAGTTCCGTCTCCGCAACGGTCTCTTCTTTGCTTTTTTCATCCCCGGTTCCTTCTTCTGGTACGGCTGGTCCTCCTACTACCGCGTCCATTGGATCGTTCCAATTCTCGGCTTGATACCTTTTGGATTCGGAACCATGGGTGTGTTTGCTGGTATTCAAACGTACTATATCGATACGGGAAAACAATATGCAGCATCTGCCATGGCTGGTCTCACCGCCATTCGATGCTTGTTTGCGGCGTTCTTGCCACTGGCAGGTCGGCCGTTGTATAATAATTTGGGATTGGGTTGGGGAAATAGCGTTTTGGGATTCATCGGGCTGGCTCTAATTCCAGCGCCGTTTTTCATTTATAAGTATGGTGCGAAATTGAGGGAAAGATATCCTGTTAGAGTTGATTAGGTTTATTACAGGAAATGGCATCATAGCCACGGTTTGTATAATTGCTATAATTTTTTTTCCCTTTTCTTTCGTTGGATGTTGGAGTATGCACGGCGTGTATGATGGATGGTGTTAATGATTTGCATGAAGAGCAAAGAAAAGTATATACGAATGACGGCTCCACAGTACCAATACCCTCCTTAGAAGTTAGTCATGTTTGTTATTACTCGGTTTTTATATTGCGGAGTGAAAAGAAATACTATAATATAGCAAAATAGAACAATCACTTAATTTATCTTGCGGTTATAACTTGAAAATTGTGCAGGTGAGTAGATAGGCTTACAGAAATCAAGTATGAATTAAACCCAAATTCATCTTCGATATATAGTTTTACATAGTCACTTTTGTATACAGAAAGTGTTCTCAAACCGCAATAGAATACGATTCCCATTGTTTTGACAGGTCATTCTCGCAAGTGAGCCTATAGAATTTAACAACTGTGACAATTTTCACATCACTGCTTGCGTCCCTACTGTTCAAGATCGATTGTGACTCCTAAAGTGACATCCAAGTAGACACAACCAAAACCTTGGGACAGACTAGAACAGAAGGACACCTCGATTGTCAACTTTGTCAATTTTAGATCCCGCACAAGTCATGTTGTCTTTGGATGTTGGTACAGCAACACCCCCTGTGTTCTAACGCTATGGCTTGAATGTGTCTGGAAAAAATGAAAGTCATGGTGAAGTATGATCGACATAGCATTGAGATGCATAAGTTCGTTTTCTTTCCATCAAACAAGGTATGTAGCGAACAACTCAGGCGTTAGATCAATGGTACTGAAGATTGGATGAACAAAACAACGATGTAAGTATAGTAGCTTGTTCAAATGAGATCGCAATGATCATCAAATATTGTCATTTTGTCTAAGCAAGCTTTCATCAGAAATGGCAACTTGCCTATAATTATGCTTTTCCCTACACCATATAAACGCCATTTTATATCCCAAACTCCGTTCCCTTTCAGCAACTTCCAAGTACAAGATGCCCCCCTAAGAAGTCGCAAAGAGCGTATCCTCATCTCTCAAATACTCTCCAGCATCTGCCTGTCTGAAACAAACAATACCGGTGGGATCCAATCTTCTAGCTTCTTGTGTACTTCTCGCCGTAACCCCAAATCCCAATGGTGTATCGTTCATACTGTAAACAACCACACCCTGATGCTCAGGACAATCTTCCGACCACCTTCCAACATGCGCTTTCACAATATGTCCACCGTAGAGAAATGGCATTTCTCCATTGGCCTTAACCCAGACCTTGTAACGGGCGTGTTCAGCGAGGATAGGGAGCGCGGTGATGTGGATGCGGAATTTGCCTGATTTTGTGAATTTTCCTGCGAGGGATATGTTAGATATGGCATCCATCTTTGCAATGTGGGAATTGCAACACATACCGAGACAGATTCCTAATGACAACAACTTGTCTCTAGAAATAGAAGTCGCAAGGTTTGCGAGCGATAATCGTACATAGTAACATCTTGATTGTTGAACGCGGAAAACATATCGATCAGCATTTGGGGTGTTGTCCAATGGCGCAATCAGATTCTTCAACGAGTTTCCCGTATAGCCCGCCAATTTGGCGAAGAGAGTTTGAGTTTCTGGTTCTGTGAGAGGACGCATTTTGGAATTGTGATGTGTGGATAATAATTGTTCGTGAAGTTTGCGAGATGGAAGTTGAAGCTCTAGATTGTAGAGATCCTGTGAATTTTTTTTGGCGGGCCTACCTACTGATAAGGCTGGAAACTTTTTTTTTTGCGGGTGAGCGTGCGGCCGCTTGGTGCCCGCTTCAGAATATTTTCGACAGAACCCTGGTATGAACTTTTTTTCGATCGATAACTTTCATACAATACAATTTTCCTATCACGATTGGTTCTTGCGACATAAGTAAAGATGGCAAAAGTACCAGCAGTCAAGAGGCGCAAGCTAACACCTCCGCCAAATGAGGGAGAGGATTCGTCTCCGTCGACTTTAGAGAATGCGCCAAATTCGAATGCGTTTTTCAAGACGGCTTCGAAATGGAATTTAGAACAGGATTACGAAATGAGACCGCGCAAAGGAAAGAAGGACAAAAAAGAAAGTACAAGATTGCCAATTAAGACTAAAGAAGGATTAATTGAACAAGTGGAAGCGCCAGTGGAAGTTAACGAGGAGGAAAGCGATTTGGAATGGATTGGTGCGGATGATGTTGAAGAGGATGAGGAGCCCGAAGAGAAGGTCGAGAAAAAGCCTTCTGTGCCGATACGACAGCAGATTCTCGAAGCAAAGGAGGAATTGGCACGTATAGCATTGATGTTGAATGAGGATCCGGAAGAGAATGTAGGAGCATTTAGAGCCATCGCAGAATTTGGAAAATCGCACAACATTACGATCAAGAAATTGGCATTGGCTACTCAATTGGCTGTTTATAAGGATGTTATTCCAGGATATAGGATACGACCTTTGTCGGAAGATAATATGGAAGAGAAAGTTTCGAAGGAGGTGCGAAAGCTGAGGGCGTACGAACAGGCTCTTGTGGGAGGATATCAAGGATATGTGAAGGAATTGGGCAGGCTCGCGACAGCTGGAAAATCTCAAAAATCGAGTGATGGCGGCGCAGGTCTTTCGACGGTTGCCATATCTTGTGCATGCGCATTATTAGAAGCTGTACCCCATTTCAATTTCAGATCAGATCTCTTGAAGATATTGGTGGGAAAGCTCAGTACGAGAAAGGTGGACGCCGAATTTGTCAAGTGTCGAGAGACTATCGAAATGTTGTTCAAGAATGACGATGATGGAACTTCATCTTTGGATGCGGTGAACATTTTAACGAGAATGATGAAAGGAAGAGGATACAGAGTAGACGAAAGTGTATTGAACACTTTCTTACATTTAAGATTATTATCGGAATTCTCTGGAAAGGCATCAACGAATCATGTCGATCATGAGGAAGACAGTTTTGGAGGCAAGAAACTCAAGGAAAAGAGAGTATTCCGCACCAAAAAGGAGCGAAAATTAATGAAGGAACGAAAAGCGGTTGAAAAGGAGATGGTTCAAGCAGATGCAACAGTCAGTCACGAAGACCGCGAGAGAATGCAGTCAGAAACCTTGAAACTAGTGTTTGTGACATATTTCCGTATCCTTAAAGTACGTTCACCATCTCTCATGGGTGCTGTACTTGAGGGTTTAGCTCGATACGCCCATCTCATCAATCAAGATTTCTTCGGTGATCTTCTCGAAGCGCTCAAAGATCTCATTGGTCATGCCGAGACAGGAGATGATCTTGAGGAAACCGAAGCAGAAGACGAGGACTCCGAAACCTCTCGCAATCTCACCCGTGAATCTCTCCTTTGTATCATCACCGCATTCGCACTTCTAGAAGGCCAAGACGCCCACAAAGCTCAAGCCTCGTTAAGCTTAGATTTAAGTTTCTTCATCACCCATCTTTACCGCACTCTCCACGCCCTATCCCTCAATCCTGACATCGAACTCTCCTCCAAATCCCTCCATCTACCAGATCCAAACGCCCCCTCAACAACCGACAATAAAGTTAACATTCAAACCACGACCGTTCTTCTCCTCCGCTCGCTCTCCTCCGTCCTCTTACCGCCCCTCGCTGCCCGCGCTGTCCCACCCCTCAGAATCGCGGCTTTCACTAAACAACTCATGACATGCTCTCTCCAACTACCCGAGAAATCCGCTACCGCAATGATGGCTCTGTTAGGCAAAGTTGCAAAGATTCACGAGACCAAGGTGAAGAGTCTCTGGAATACAGAGGAGAGAAAGGGTGATGGAATGTTCGATGGATGTAGTACTGAAGTGGAAGGAAGTAATCCCATGGCAAGCACTATCTGGGAAGGAGAATTGTTACGACTACATTATTGTCCTGCGGTTAGAGACGGTATGAAAGTGGTGGAGAAAAATGTAATTGGGTTGAGATGATCAAGTAGAGTGGATAATGTGTACGAGATGAGTTTGAAATAAAATGCATACTTCTAGATCATTTTTTATCCTGTGTGGTATCTTATATGGGGATTGTGAATTATTAATTAATACAAATGTGTGAAAGAATTTGGGTATATAGTTATACATGTTCGCAATCCCTCAATGTAATCTAGCCATCCATTCTCCCAGGTATAAGCTATAAGCTCCAACGCCAAAAATACACCCTTGTCTATCAATCTGTCGTTATGAGGCACCCACGTCCAATCCTCATTTCCGTCGAAGCCGGAAATGTGGATGATGTCTCTCTCTGTACTGTACCTCCTTACAGATATAATCAAACTACTTGAGCATCCATACTTTCCACAACTCCATTGCATTCCCCACTAAAGACACCTCCTTATTCACAAACTCTCCCAAGAATCTCAAAACGCCTTCCCTATCCCCATCCCCCCTGTCTCCCCCATCAACCGCTCCTCCTCCTCCCGCCCCCGTCCCAAAACCACAATCCTCCCCCCCTCCTTCCCCTCATGCACATGACTAATCTGACTCAACATCTGCGCGAATTTCCGATCCGTCGTCGCCTGGCTTTGCCAATCTAGAGAGGTGAGCGCGGACAGCGTAACAGAGAGTGCGTTGATGATTATGCTGGTTACTATTAGAGCTAGGAGAGGTTAGTCAGGGGCAAGGAGATAAGGAAATGGGTGGGGGGAAAGGAATGATAGACCTTTCATATCGGCAGCGGAACTGGGCTTTAGGGATGCGATGGAGGATATGACGAGAGAGGCGATAGAGAGGATGACGGAGGCGTAGACGGAAAAACGTTTCCAGAATTTGGCGGTGACGAAGAAGGGTTCCTGGGAGGGGGTGGGGTTAGTATGTTTGTTTTGGGGGGCTTGTGTAGATAGGGTGATGAGAAATAAGAATCGCTTCTTTGCGTGAATGGAAATTGGAGATCTAGTAGGTTTAAGTGGTAGGGTGTCTTGATATCATTGGGGAAGGCTTTTCGCTATGCGATAATAGAGACAACTCGGTCTCTCATGTATCGACAGCATCATCCTTTCCCTTCTAGACGGCGAATTTCTCAAAACCTTTCAATTCCCTCTCCCAAATAAAACTCCTTCTCTCTACTATCCCTCCAAATCCCATCGCACCACATCCCAAAATAAAAACAATCAAACAAATCAAAACGTGACATCCACGTGCAATCCAGCCTCCAGAACAATAGTAACAACAATAAAAAAGATCCCACAAAACCTTAATAGGAAACAATCCCGCAGCATCAAGAACCATATCCTCAT